ATGTTTTCTGTATTAGTTGAATTCCTATTTTCTAGTATTGTTTTATTGATTGAATTATCAGTACTATTTTTATCTTCAAAAGACAAAGAGTTTAGTCCCTCTAAAATATCATCAATGTTGCTCATAAATATTATTTAACGACTTGAATATTCGTCCTACTTTATCTAAACACTACCCTATCTCTCCTAAAGTCCTTAATCAGAGGGTTTAGGAAAGGTGAAAAGGAATTTGGCACTTACGAATTTTCGGCAGGTGAGCCCCTCGTAGTTTCCTGTCTCCTTTTCCGATCCCTTGTCCTTTGTAGTGTGGCTAGTCCTCTCGGTTGATTCCTCTTGAAGGGATGTTCTTTTGATTCACGCTCAGGGCTAAAGTCCCAAAATCACGAAAACCTGAATCTTCGGCACTATGCGAGAGTCTTTTTCGCGACCGCGAGAATCCTACCGACTGCGCCAATTTTAACTTCAACCTCAAAAACTGCCTTTTTAAAAAGCAAAATTACGTTTATTACGGAATTGTACAATCAAGAATTCTCTTCGAAAGATAGACAAGGAATGAATTGTGAATATAAAAACTAAATCAAGCTGGCTCGCAGAAATCTCGTGAGGAGATGGTCTTCTCGGAATAGTCTCATGTTTCTCTTGTCGTCGCGGCATGTTTTTGATAAGGAGCATCATGTAACTTCCGCAACCAATAATCCGATGACTAGAGGTTAAGCCCCGTCAATTTTCATATCTAGAATGACAAGGTCGAAATATGTGCCTCAAGAAATGAAAACGGCCTTGTCTGATCCGTTCGACATTAAACTATTGGTTGATTTACTCATGGTGGATTGTCTTTGAGTGTAACACTCAGTGTAATACACAACAAATGCCAAAAAATCCTTGTGCTCAGGACGATTGCTGATTTATTTATTTATTTATTTATTTATTTATTGAACAAATAACTTCCAGACAGAATAGGCTCTGGTATAAGGAAGTACATAATTATATACCTATAGGTAAACATAGCATCATTCAAAATATATCAACAACTGTAAATTGGCAAACAAAGAATAATATAATAATATTTGTAAAAAAAAAAATGGCATGATTAATTTTATCCAGTCCGCTGAGAAATAATCAGTTTTTTTACTTCATTTTTGAATATACCTATATTTCTGCAATTTTTTATATTATCAGGTAGTTTATTGAATTCAGTCAAGGCTGAATGAGTGAATCTTTTTTGTCCGATTAGGGAGCGGCGTCAAGATGGAACAAGTTATATTGTCTAGTTTCATGATTATGAATTTCAGAATTCCGTATCAAAATAATATTCGACTTCAATTTTTTATTTATGATATTATATGATATTTTGAGAGTTTCAATTCTATATATTTCATCTAAAGAATACGTATTTGTTATTTCATACAATTGATTGGTTGGTGTATCAAATGGGAGACGATACAATACTTTTAACGATTTTCTATATAATGTTGATATTTTATTGAAATTATTTTTTGAACAAGATCCCCAAACATTTATTAAATAGTTGATACGACTCAGTATATGAGAGTAGAGAATCATGTTTGCAATTTTAATATCAAGTTTGGGACATCTTCTCAATGCACCAATAATTGGAGATATTTTTTTTGTCAGAACATCAATATGTTCGTCCCACTTCAACCTGTCATCAAACCAAATACCAAGATATTTTATCTGGTCAGTTTGTTTCAAGAGTTCATTTTTTATTTTAAGGTTGAGGTGAATTTTTTGTTTATTTTTTTGGTGAAAAATCATATATTCTGTTTTGTTAGTATTTATCGATAAAAGGTTAGATTGGAGCCATTTTTCAAATATTTTCAAGTCTTCATTTATCATATTTTCTAAATCTGAAGGATTCTTGCCTTCATATAAAAGTACTGTATCATCTGCATACATGGTATATTCACACGCTAGACCAATTTCACTGATATTTTGAACATAAAGTAATTATAGTATAGGTCCTAAAACAGAGCCTTGTGGGACACCCTTATTGATTAATAGTTTATTTGACACAGAGTTGTTTGATTTTGTATTGATTGTCCTATTTTCAAGATATGAATTCAAAATATTTCTCACAGTGCCTCTGAGTCCCATTGTTTCTAAGTTTTCTAAAAGTGTTTTATGATCAACTGTGTCAAAAGCCTTTTTGAGATCAATGAAAACAGCTACCACATAATTTCCTGAATCAAGTCCTCTCTGGATTGAATCTATCACTTGTAGTACTGCTGCTTGTATTCCACTGTTTTCTTGAAAACCAAATTGATTAGAATCCGTCGAGTTCTGCTTCCAATAAGCATGATAATGTTCATGCATGTGTTGTTTGTTAACTTGCATATGTTTAGTGTCATCAAAGAAAACACGAAAGTTGTTCACTCATTTCGGGACACAAGCTGTTATCATCATATGAAAAGTATGAACATCAGGATATTCCGTAAAAACTTACGACAATTGAAGTCTCCTGTCATATTTGAACATGGTTCGTTGGGAGCGACGAATGATACTGAAGCTTTCTAGTTGGTCTCGAGTATTATCCTTCGTTAATTAGTTCTCGCATGTGATCATTTGGCGAATTGAAGGATAACTCCATTTATCTCGAATCATTCCGGATTTGCTCTTTATATTCGTGTAAATATCAAGTTCTAACATAACTTTGAAAACCTTTATTAATGATGCAATGACAGGATCCAATCAGTAATCAACCAGATTCTTCGTCGAAACTTCAATGGTAGAAGGACTCGAAACTGATCATATTACTATCAAATAATAATAATGATAATAATAATATAAGTTTATTCAAAAACGTTTACAAAATATACATTGGACTAAACATAAAGGTAATTTGAATAAACTGGGAAAAACCTTACGAAGTTAACCTTGTAGTAAGGATAAAAAATAAATAAATGTACATAGGTCAATAAATATTTAACAATATCAAGTTATCACAATTGAAAATTGTCTCATTAAGAAATGAGACAAGTATTCAATTCATAATATATAGTGTACGGAGCATTTCATTCAATACGCATAATTATTTATATTCATACATACTTATTCACAATTATTATTAAAATTTATCTAATGATATTATTAAATGTTAATTAAAGAAATGAAATAATTTTTAGGGGAGTTTAATATCCAGTTTTTTATTTTTATTTTATAGGATTGTAGTGATTTTGTTTTTAGAATATCATTTTGGAATTTTATTATAATCAAGTTTCTTTGTCATGGTCAAAACATATTGGAATACTTGAAAAAATATATCTCCAATAATAGAGATTTTAGGGTACGGAATCAAGTTCCTATAAAATGTCTCAAATCTATATACTTTTCCTTGATTTATTCCAAACTTGAAAATTTGATTTTTGTATGGGGATCAACAAAACTATCAATTATGACGCTTTTTAAACTCTTCAAAATGAAATTATCAAATGTATATACAAATTAAATTATTTGGAATCTACTAAGAACCTTTACAGAAGAAGAGAGTTATTAGATATACATTCACTATACGAGTATAAATTCAAATTATTATCATTCATTCAGTTGAAAATTGCCAAAAGCATTCAAATTTAGTTTTTCTACAAACGTCAAAAAATGACAAGGTTCGCGCATTGATAACAAATTGCGAAGTGACACTTTTTTTTCAGTTTCCTACGTTACCATAATGATGGAAGTAAGATATGGTGTGCGCATTCGGCCATTATTACGTATTGAAAATTTCAGAAAAATCACTCGACCGGCCTACTATGTTTTCTCTTCGTCACAACGAGCGAGACGTTGATTCTACATTTTCCCGCTAGATGGTGATGCTGCTATTGCTGCTGTGACGAGTGGAAATAAAATGGCAAATGCCATTTTAGGTACGCGGAACATATGTAAAAGTGGGATTAAACAACTCTGAATTCGAAAAATCTGCGACAATTTCAAAACTGACAGAAGTCATAATTGTGCAATGTCGCCATCTATTAGAAGATCAATGGAACCATTGCTCTCGCTGCTCTCGAGAGGTCGAGTAAAATTTCTGAAACAAAAGCGCATCAGTAATTACACCATATCTTACTTCCATCATTGTTACCATGATACCTTGCACAAAACAATGCGCGAACTGAAACAGTGCGCGAAGTAAAACAGCATTGTTATGTAAAATATATGAGATATTTATATTTCAACTTTATGGTCCCCAATCGAGCAAACGTCCAGGAAATCATTTATTTCTGAATGTTCAACAATAACTTCGTTTTATCTCTTGGAGCACACGAAAGGAGATTCCTATTTTGTTCGTGGAACATCGTGCGTACCTAGGGAGGATAGGGAGAGGCCTTTTAAGCCAGTTGAACACTATTTTTTATATCAAGCTAAGCATATTTTTACTTCAGAACTATATTTTTTGACGTTTGTAGAACAAATTTTGTTTGCAACTCGCCTCGTTAAAAAAATCAGATCTCGATCACCAAAGTAGCATTTTGCGCTCTAGATACAAAAATAACTATTTCCAAATCAAAAGTAGTCTTCACCATACAACTAGACAAGCAGATCTTTTTTCTGTCAAGAAAATCGAATCAGATGTTGGTATGGTTGGTATTACAATGCAATGATACAATACAACAAACAACTTCAATAATTTTCTTTTTTGTTTTCGTACAATTACTATAGATTTCATCGAGTACCTAACAGCTGAGTCAATTATGAATCATTTTCAGTTGAACTTTAAAAAAAATAATTTCTTCTTGAGTGTGAGTCTTATTTTATTGTCTACTTTATTTTGTTAAATGTTGTTTCTTGGGAAGAATATAGTTGATTCAAAAACTTATAATTTCCAGAGATAAAAAACGAACATAGGAATTCCCTTTCGTGCGCTTCAAGAATTGAAAAAATGCTAAGTTCAGGTTGCAAATTTTTTGTAATTAGACACAGGGATCAATGTGTGTATCTGTTGGGAAATTCCTCGGCTTTTAAACATCATCAGCTTCTCGTTTGCAGCCGAAGAAGACCACGTCACCATCCACAACAACTATATGCACGCCGTGCACCCCGGAAGCCGCATAACCTCCCCCGTCATCAACGACATCAATAATCCGGGAGGCATGGAATACCACCACCACCACGGCGGCTCCCACATGGGCTCCCACATGGGCTCCCAAGTGGGCTCGAGGATGGGTTCGGTGATGGGATCGGTGCACGGATCGATATGCGGGAGCATGCGCAGTTCGCCGTCGCCTTTGATGCCGCCGGTTTCCATGATGCATACCGGTCATCATCCGGATCCTCCGCAGTGAGTTTTTCTGTGTAAACTTTGAGGTTGGAAGTTGTGTTCTCTGGTTTTTTCTTGGATATTGTCACAAACTGTAGGCGGGGGTTACCTAAGTTGTGTTCTACATCCATTTGAGAATGAACTTCAAAAGTGATAATGATAAAGAATACTCCAAAGGGTTTTTAACAAACAATATACACACATGTCGCTACCTAAGAACAAGACAGGCACAACTCGAAAATCAATAATGTTGAGGAGAGCAATTTGAAACTTTGCGATATTTTAAATAGCACTGTTCATAAGTGAATGATGAGGTATGGATTTGGAATTTGTGTATGTTATGTTGAATGGACGGCATTAGCTTTATTCTTGTCGAGTTTTCGATTTCAGTTGTACTTCACTAAAGAAAAAAATTGAAATGACGGTTTTGACCAGAAATAATTTTCGAGGTTGACACCAATATTTTGGTTCCAATTCGTTGTTTGACACATTATTCAACAAAACTTGAAGATTTTCGCAAACGGACAGCAGTTGTATATAGAAAATAAGTTTATTAATTCCCCATAAATTCTTCACAAACATAAAACTCACAGTTCCTCAAACGTTTCACAATATTTCTTTTCCAAATTGTCGTATTATGTTTTCTCTTTCGGCTTTTTTTTATAATTGGTCGGTCGCTGGAACTGGAAGATGATGATGATGATGATAATCTAGAGGTAGAACTGAGCTCGTATTCTGGATCTATGTCTGAACTAGAACTGAACGGATCAGATTCAGTAGTTTCTGATCGGCTACTTCTAGTAGTGAAATATTTGAACAGTTATCCTGGTCGGCGTTATCTAATAAATTGCTAGATGATGGAAAATCTCTTGATTCAACTTCTGGAAAATAAAAGAGGTACCTACTCGTATTGCTATCTAAATTAAATTCTCTCAATATATTCAAAATACCTTCATTGCGAAATAGACCAGTATAGCTGAATAGTTTTTTCTCAATGGTTCTGGTTCAGACCTGATATTCTCACTCATATTCTTATTAAAAAGAAGTTTCAATAGTTATAGTAACTCCGTTTTGAACCTCGCGTATATCGAAACTATCTTAACATATTCGCATATTTTGTTAAGCAATAATGGCAAATTCAATCATGTGTGATGGTGAAATTTTGCGAATTAGAAAGACTGACACAATTAAGGTTCGACCAAAAAATTTCCGAAATTATTTCATAACATCTGAGCAAGAATGACACATTTCTTCTTATGCCAATGAAAACACGAAAAAATTATTGAAAAGACTGGCACATTTTGCATTTTCACATAAAATATTCACCTGAATTACGATATCCTTATGGAGAAGACTGTTCTAAGATGAATTACGACTGTCTTATTCAGAAAAACACAATTTTTCATAGGCACTTCTCAAAATGTGACTCTCTTCTGGAGAAGCGATGAGCTCCTTTGTCAACAAAGCACAGAGCAACACAAATTGATACAGTCTTGCGGGGAGCAAACCTATGATTTTTTATTTGTGCCGTTCGATAGTACCGCCCTCCATTACGAGTTTCATGCAGTTGAATTGCGACGGTTTGTTCAGTGAATCTATGCATTATTTTATGTCTATTGATGCAGAAAACCGAAATCTGCGAATTTTCAAGTTGTGACTGTCTTGTTCTTAGGTAGCGATGTATTCTTGACTTTAATGAATATAACAAATAATGAAAACTCAACTCACCCTATATGTACAAATTGAATGGTATTTCTGGGAGCCTGAGGAAGGGCATCTTCTGTTCTGTCCCGAACTCCGACGGTTCGGGCACAGGGGTAAATGATTGATCGAGTCAGATGATTGAATGATCCAATAACTGAATGATCGAATGATACCTGTGCTGGCTTCCTCGCGCCTTTTATATATTCAATCTATATTTTCGAAACGTGACAGTGAGGAAGTTAGGTGGATATTCCTGGTTCGTTGAAGTCAATGCCATGCCTGTGTTTATGTTCAACTACTAATCGAAAGTTCGTGGTTTAATAATTTTGGAAATGATAAACACAGACGTGACCGTTCAATGACTTCGAACCGATATAATTTTGTAAGAATTTTGGAATTTGGCTTCAAACATCTCCTCATTTGTGACAATATTTCAAAAACAATTTTCATGATACTAAACCATATAAATCATATTATATACAGGGTCTCTCAGGTTCAACTCGTCTAACTTTGACAACCGATAACAAAAATTAAAATGTTTTACACGATTTTTTTTTGTTTTGTGGTGGAGAATACTTATTTCTAAACCAAGGTAGTGAAGAATAACATTATTACACAGGGCGAAGAAGGTCCCGTGGTAATAATATTATTTACTATCAAGATGTATATTAAATGTTTTTCACCACTAGCAATATACAGGGTGTTTCAAAAAAACCTGACCTCCTTGCTAGGGTAGGTAGAACACTGTGAAATAAGTTGTGTTTGCTCAGTGAAAAAATGTCGTAACGGCATCCGTTCTCATGATACAAGGTGTTGAAAAAATTATTTTTTCAAACATTTTTCACGATTATGTCGAAACTACTGGCAATATTGTAATGAAATTTTGTATGAATGTTTCTGGAAATCTGACACATCGCATGAATTTGTTTTAATATCTGACTCTCATAGAGAGTGCTAGTTACACGGTTCGTACCGAGTAGTTTAGAACATAACTTTTTTGAGGTTAGATCTTTCAATCCAAATATGATATGAACTTGAACATCATTCAATTTCACACCAAAAAGATACTTCTAGTGAAACTCGATATTATGTTCTGTTTTCGGAATATTTCGATTTGAAAATAATGGAGTAATAGGTGATGTTGGTATAAAATGAATTTTATTGAGTTCAATTACCTATTTATTCAGATTTAAAAACAATGAAACTGTTCTTGTGCTGAAGTCATTGATGAAACAAAGAATCATAAGTAGAAAATTAAGAGATATTTGACTAAAAACATGAAATATTGAATCAGTTAGAGTAAGTGTTCAAAATGTCCTACGTTTCGAGGAATACACGATTCTATATTCTTTTTTTCAGAATATATTATTCGTCTGAACAGTTGAGGATCAGCTGTTAGGTCATTTAAGTGATGTTCATTTATGTCTCACAACGCTTGACGTGAATTTACCTTTGTAGCTTAGACTTTCTGCTCAAGATACAGCAAAACTGTGTAATCCATGTTCTTAGTCAAATCTGTTTCGATGTTATTCTTGTGATTACTTTGTTAAATCAATAATTTTAGCATCAGAAATCTATTGTTGTTTCCGGTTTTCCATAAATAGGTGATAATTTTTCATAATACTCACTCTAATACATAGCTTTATACCAGCAACAGTTACCATTTTCAAATCGAAATACTCCGAAATCGAAATACAGTATCGAGTTTTACCAAGAGTACCTTTTTGGTGTGAACGTGAAAGATGTTCAAGTTCACATCAAATTGGGATTGAAAAATTTAACCTCAAAAAAGTTATGTTCAAAACTACTCGGTGAACCGTGTAACTAGCGCCCTCTTTGAGAGTCAGATATAAAAACAAATACATGCGATGTGTCAGATTCCAAGAAACATCTATACAAAATTTCATATCAATGTTGTCAGTAGTTTTGACATAATCTTGATAACGCATGCCGTTACGAAATTTTTTTACTGAGTATACCCAACTTATTTTGCAGTGTTCTACATCCCTAGTAAGGGGGTCAGGTTTTTTTGAAACACCCTGTAATTCAATCATTATAGTTCTGTGAAACTGAAATATGGACCTATGTCACCATAGAAGCACTTCTTTTCAATTTTAATTAAAATCTAGTCACCATGACAGCATATGACAAGTCGTTATATTGATGAATACGTACTACATTTGGGTTTCATTCTTGCCTAGGTCGCATGGGAACAGTGAATTCTGGTTAATTATTACAGAGGTGGTGATATCTTTATTGTCTAGTGGTTCAGAAAATGACGAAAATTACCTTGGCAGTAAAAACACACTTCACGCCTTCAAAAGGGGTAAACAATGGTAGGTTCTATAGCTATTGGTAGAAAAACTCATTCATTCACCTTGTGATCAGCGCTTCATTTGTTTTAGATATATTTCTTAGTTTACTTTTTATTTCACATAATGTTATACTATGCATAACAGTTTTTTGACCTGAATGTTTATCTTACATCAAATTATTATCATTCGAATTGAATATTAGATGGATCACGAATAATTCATTTCAGAATTTCATACCCAGTAACCACAACATTTCTTATTGATCATTTTCAATATTCAACAGTGTCCAAAGCACTCCATGATAACATTGGCCGAGGATGCCCCTGATATTATTTGCTCAATAACTCGGGAACTCAGAAATATATTGAAGCAAATGAAAAACACAAAGTGAGGTGAAGAAATGATATTGATATTTCATTAGGTTCAATCCACTGCAACGTCACAATAAACAAACCAGATAGGTTCCATGTCAGAGGGCTCGAAAAAGAATAACACCTAGTGTACCTAAGTCCCTCTTTATAGTGATGAAGACTGTTCATATTGCCGATAGATAAGTGGTCACCTGATTTCAAATTGCTAGGTTTCATTTCAACTGGAAAAAAAAATGTATGCGCACTTCAACACCCTGTATAGAGGAAACAAGTTTCTCCATGACAAAACAGAAAAAATACGTGCCTAATATTTCAATTTTTGCAATCGATTGTCGAAGTTAGACGAGTTAAACCTGAGACACCCTGTATACTGACACAAGAATAGATCAAAAGTGTGGCGAAAGGTATGGGCCGATCATCAATACGCATGTGCCGAATTAGGAAAATGTGAACAACGTTTATACTTACATAAACAATAATTAAAAAATTGGTCTGTTTCAACCAACTAGACCATTACATTTTGCTTATTCTATGATAAAATTACAATTTAAATATGTGACTAACCTGTGATGATGAATATAATCAGCCCTTCAAGAAGAGCAATGGATCACTTGTTTTAGACGAAAAATAA